TATAAAGATAAAAATGAAAAAGTCTTTGCCCTCAAAGACTCACATTCTATAGAGGAAGATAGTATGTACACACCAAATAAATAAAGGGTAGTTTGTAGGAAAAAGGCACTAGTAGCTGGTGGTGGTGGGGTTATGAATGGGTTTAGAAGATGGCATGGGCTGAATTCTGAAGGAACCAAGGTATTCTAAGAGGCGGAGGTGATGAGGGTGCATTCAATGGATAGGGTCAATCAGTACAAAAGCATGGAGATGGGAAATGAAGTACTGTGTATGAGGAACAGCTCACAGCTATAGCCCAGTTTACCTAGAAGTCCAGTTTGGGTGGACCAGAGTATGTGAGAGGGGTGTAACGCACTGATAAAATCTAGGTAAATAGCTATCTACAGAATTGTCCTGATCTACCAGTTCAGAGATCATGCCTAAAAAACAAATATGCACAGTCTGGCATCACCTGTTCATGACAAAACTAGGAAGGCTCTCTGGGATCACGACTTCCTTTTCGAGATATTCACTAACCATCCCTTTTTAAAATATATATTTTGGGGCAGCTAGATGGCATGGTAGATAGAGCACCGGCCCTGGAGTCAGGAGGACCTCAGTTCAAATCCGGCTTCAGACACTTAACACTCACTAGCTGTGTGACCCTGCGCAAGTCACTTAACCCTATTGCCTAGCAAAATACAAAAAAAAATTTTAATAATAATAATAAAATCCATATTTTTATTGACATCTTTTGTGTTTCTAACACCATTACTTCTGAATATAACCTTCCCGAAAGAATAAAAAAGGAAGAAAAAAAAGCAGTTCAGAAAATTAAACAACACATTGAATGAATCTAATAATGCGTGAGATCATCCACACACTTAGTTCCTTATCTCTGCAAAAGAAGGTAGGTATATATATTATTTAAATTTAAATTTTATTAATTTATTTTGATTTATCAACAATCACTTCCATATGCTTTTGAGTTGAAAATTTTTCTCCCCCTTCCTCCTTCCTACCCTCCCCAATCTGATATAGGCTTTACATTTGCGCATTCCTATTAAACATATTTTCAAATTAGTGAAGTTGTAAGTAAAAATTAAAACCAACAGGAGGAGCCATCAGAAAGATGAAACAAAACTCAACAGAAAGTAAAAATAAGTGATAGCGATTCGACTTCCATAGTTCTTTCTTTGGATGTGGACAGCATTTTCCATCCCGAGGTCTCTGGAGATGTCTTAGATCCTTGTAATGCTGAGAAGGGTTCAGTTTAACAATCTTAGTCATTGCCTAACGTGGCTGTTATTGTGTACAAAGTCCTCTTGGTTCTGCTCACTTCACTCAGCATCAGACCATATAAGTCTTTCCAGGTTTTTCTGAAGTCAGCCTGTTCATCATTTCTTATAGCACAATAGTATTCCATTACATTCATATACCACAACTTGCTCAGCCATTCCCCAATTGATGGGCATCCTCTCAATTTCCAATTCTTATCCATCACAAAAAGAGCTGCTATAAATATTTTTGTACATGTGAGTCCTTTTCCCATTTGTTTGATCTCTTTGGGATATAGCCCTAGGAGTGCTATTGCTGGATCAAAGGGCATGCACATTTTTGTAGCCCTTTGGGCATAGTTCCAAATTGTTCTCCAGAATGGTTGGCTTATTTCACAGCTCCACCAACAATGTATTAGTGTTCCAATTTTCCCACATCTTTTCCAACATTTATCATTTTCCTGTTTTGTCATGCTGGCCAATCTGATAGGTGTGATGTGGTACCTCAGGGTTGTTTTGATTTGCATTTCTCTAATCAATAACAATTTAGAGCATTTTTCCATATGACTATAGATGGCTTTAATTTCTTCATCTGAGAACTGTCTGTTCATATCCTTTGACCATTTATCAATTGGGGAATGGCTTGTGTTGTTATAAATTTGTCTTAATTCTCTATATATTTTAGAAATGAGGCCTTTATCAGAGAGACTGGTTGTAAAAATTCTTTCCCAATTTTCTAGGAAGGCATATTTTCTTAACTCCTCTCTATAATTATTAAGCATTCAGTTTCATTTTTTTGACCACATTTTAAATAAGACATAATAGAATTGTGGCAATAATGAAAATCATGCTCACTGGCTTAAAATTTGCAGAGTCTACTCTCTTCCTGTTCTTGAAAATTGGGATATTTGTACTTTTCAAGTTCTTTATGATCTTTCAAAATTCATTAATAGCAGGTTTAGCATTCTTATCTTCTAGTTCTTTCAGTATCAAAAGATGAAGTTTATTCAGGTTACATGACAGAAACTTATCAAGAGTAGATAAGTGCTCTTATTGTCTCCTTACTTTGAAAAATTAATTATTTATAAATTTATGTAAGATCCCAAGCCTGCAATACAGCTATCAACATAAAAATACTGTTGAGTTTAAGTCTCTATTAAAGTAAAAAGGAGATTATATTTCAGAAGGCACTAGAGATTATCTTCTTTTTTTCTCTTTGACTATTTAAAATTTTTTTATTTTATTCTCAGTTCCAAATTCTTTCCCTCCCTTCAACCTTTCCTCCACTCTTTGAGAAGGCAAGAGATACAATACTCATAACACATTTAAAGTCATGCAAAACATATTACCATATTGACACAAGTGATGCTAATTAAGAAAAGAGTTCTTAATTCAAATAAGGTAAATGAGGCATAAAAAATTTATGATTTCATTACCATAATTCTTTACTACAGATTTGTAGCATGACATTCTAAAAACAAAAATAAAACTATTAGAGAATCAAAAATCAGTCAATCAAAAAGAATATATGCCTAAACCAAAAGTGTTATATCTCAGCTGAAAAAAAAATTAAGTAGACTTATTTTGCTACATACTTATAACAAGTAGAAGATACAAATCATCAGTGGTAACCTGAAACTTTTTATTACTGGGTATGAAATCCTTTGTAATTTGTTTTTCAATTCTTGTTGAACTATTCTTTGTGAAAATAATGAATAAAAAGGATATGAACCCAAACCAACTAGCCATTTTGCAGCAATTAGCCTTTATGAGTGCCTGCAAGGCTCCAGGAATTGTGCTAAGTGTTTGGGACATAATGAAAAGCAAAAAACAGTCCCAGCTCTCCAGGAGCTCACAGTCTAATGGAGGAGACAGCATGCAAATAACTATGTATAAACAAGATATACAAAGGATAAATTGGAGAAAATTTAAGACTGAAGGCAAAATTAAAGAACAGTGGGAAAGTTTTTTTGCAGAAGGTGAGACTTTAGCTGATACTTCAAGGGAAGCCAGGAGACAGAGATGAAGTGGGAGAGTGTTTCAGGAATGAAAGACAATTAGTGAAAATGTCCAGAGCTGAGAGATAAGAGTGTCTAGTGGGAGGAATAGCAAGGAAACCTGTATCCTTGGACCTCAGAGTATCTTAAGCAGATTAAGGTGTAAGGAGCCAGGTTATGAAGGACTTTAAAAGCCAAATAGAGGATTTACTTGATTCTACAGGTTACAGGGAGCCCCTGAAGCTCATTAAGTAGAGGAATGATATGTTAAAACCCATATTCTAGGAAAATCAATTTGACAGCTGAGTGGAGGATAGATTAGAGTAGAAAAAAAACTTAAGGCAAGGAAACCACCTAGTATTATTACAATAGTCCAGCTGTGAGATGATGAAGGCCTGCACCAGCATGGTGGCAGTGTCAGAGGAAAGAAGTCGGCATGTACAAGAAACGTGAAGGTGGAAACCACAAGACTTGACCACTGATTGCATACAGGGGTGAGAGAGTAAGGAATTGAGGATGACACTTAGATTGTGAGCCTGGGTGACTTGGATGATGGTGGCAGTACTCTCCAAAGTAATTGAGAAGCTGTCAAAGTAACTCTGTAAAGTGAGAGGGAAGTCAGGAAGAGGGAAGGATTTTGGGGAGAAAGATAGTAAGTTCAGATTCAGACATGTTGAGTTTAAGAGCTCCACTAGTTTGAGATGTTTAATACTTAGTTGGAGATGTAAGACTGGAGATCAGGAAAGAGGTTAGACCTGGACAAGTAAATCTTAGAATAATGTGTATTGAGTTGATAACTGAAACCATGAAAGCTGATGAGATCACCAAGTGAAATTATATAGAGAAAAGAAGAGGGCCAAGGGCATGGCTTTGGAAGACATAATCTGGTATGACCTGGATGAAGATCCAGCAAAGGAGACTGAGAAGGAATGGTCAGACAGGTAGGAGGAGAACCAGGAAATAGCAGTGTTCCAAAAAATTAGGCAGTACCAAGGAGAAGAGGGAAATCACACTGTCAAAGTCTATAGGGAAGTCAAGAAGGATAAGGATTGAGCAAAGGTCATTAGATGTGGCAATTAAGAGATCTTTTGTAATTTTGGAGGGAGCAGTTTCAGTTGAATAATAAGAATGGAAGCCAGACTGCAAAGAGTTAAGAAGAGATTGAGATGAAAGGAAATAGAGGTATCTATTGTTGATGGTTTTATTAAGGAGATTAACCATAAAAGGACCGCTATAAGACAACAGCTAGTGGCAACAGAGGGATCAAGTGAGGTTTTTCTGAGGATGGAGGAGACATGGACATGCTTTCAGGTAGTAGAGAAGCAACTAATAGACAGGGAGTAACTGAAGATTAGTGACAATAGGGATGATAGAGGGTCTAGAATCTACTAGAAAAGATAGGATTGAATTGGGCAACCTTTTAAAGTGCAAATTAATTCAGGCATGTAAATTCCACTCATCCATAATAAGTTTCTCTACTTAACATACAGACACTCAAAAGCTTAAGTGGAGATATTAAAAAAAATTCCTACTACTTCATGTTTCTTCCCTTTTTTCCCTCCCAACCAAATTTACCATCCCTAATAACAATTCAGAAATAAGTTAGTAACACAAGTGACAAGTTGGCAAATTAACTTCTCAGCACTATATTAATTTATTAAATCTTAGTTGCAAAGAAATACTTTGGAAACATGTTTATTTCTGAATGGAATGGGCATTTTAAAAAGGGGAAAAAAAGCTGACTTACCTGATCAATCTGATCTTGTTGCCCTCTATATACAGTTTCTGGATCTGAGGGAGGCCTCAGACGGAATTCTGAGTCACAGAAATTTCCATCACCATCTACATTGTGTAGACTTTCCCAAACAACTTTTTCTTCAGTAAGAAAGCCCTGGTCTGTTACCAGCAAATATAGTTGACCCTTAATAAAAAATAATGAACGAATAGAGAGTTAAACTGGCAAACATCATTTAGCATAGTATTTAGGAGGAATTGTGTGGTTTGGTTTTTAAAGAGTATTTATCATTTCTCAATCTTTACAGCATTTAGGCAGTCTGCTGGTAAAATCTGTTTGTATAACCTTCTGAATCTAGCTATTCCAGTTTTAAATTAGTACATTTCAGCATAAACAGAAATAGAAGCTCTCATTCAGAATATCCAATTAATAAATGAATTACAAATATAAATTTTGGGGAATATCATGTCAAGAATTAGAAAAATGCTGTAAAAAATACCAGGTAAAACATAAGAAACTGACATAACAAAAAATGAAAAAACTAAGATAGTTATCAATAAAATTACACTCCCTTTTTACCTCTTTAGGCAGACAGTACCTCTGGTGGTTCTCCTACCTTTCTAAACCCTCTCTCCTCACACTCCCATCCCTTCATATTCCCTTAAATACGGATATTCCCAAGGCTTGATGCCTTTATCTCCTCTCAACATACCCTATCCCTAGGTTTATTTCATCCATTCCTACAACTTCAGTTATAATTTCTATGCAAATGTTATACAAATCTCATAAATTCAATAGGATTCAAGCATTCTGAGAACAGATAACATTTCACTTTTGTCTCTACATTTACCTAACAATGCCATAGGATGTACTTGATAACGTTGGTTTTCCTCTCCTTTTTCCCCTCTCCCTCCAAATCCCTCCTCTTGCTTATATATTCCAAATCTACGTTTACACACACTAAAAAACATTCAGAGGAAAAAAAAGTGTCTAGAATGGTAAAGGCCTCAAGATCATACCACATGAGGATCATTTGAAAGTACTAGGGATATTTAGTCTAAAGAAGAGAAGAGTTGGGGGAAACATAACTGTAATTAGTATCTGGAAGGCTAACAACTGAAGGAGAGACAAGATCTATTTTATTTGGTCTTAGAAGGAAGAACTAGGAGCAATAAGAAAAATTTGTACAAAGACGAATTTAAATGTGATAGAAGAAAAAGTTTCCTAACAATTTATACAAAAATGGGGTGAGTACCTCATGAGATAATGGGTCCCTCATTACTGAAGGACTTTAAGCAACAGCTGTATAGTCACTTGCTTGTTATGTTAGAGAAGGGATTTTTATTCAGATTTAGATTGAACTAGATAGCCTTTGGGTGTCTCTTCCAAATCTGAGCTACGATTCTCTACCTCCAATCTTATATAAAGCTCCAAAACCATGTTTTCAAACACAAATTTCTGCTCCAAGTGAATGTCCGAATGGAACCTCAAATTAAAGAATTCCAAAAGGGAATTCCTTGTGTTTTCTTAAAACCTGCATGTGCTTCTAATATGTATATTTTTGTTGATGGCACTATCATCTTCCCACAAACTCAGTCATCTTTCACTCTTTTCACATCTTTCCTCATCCTCTATATCTGTTAAGTCTTATCAACTTTATAACTCTATGGTCCTATCATTTTGGAAGGCAATTTAGAACTATAACAAAAAAATCATTAAACTTTGCATACCCTTTGACTCAGCATTTCAACTCCAGAAGAATGATGATGCATGTTTCCCACCTTCTGACAGAGAAGTGATGGAATAGAGGTGCAGAATGAGATGTATATTTTCACACACTACCAATGTGTTAATTTGTTTTGCTTGACTGTATTTTTTACAATTGAGAATTGTAAAGGAGGAGAGTACGTAGGCAATAGAATAAATAGGCAACAGAATAAAATAGATATAAAATAGAATAAAAGAACATATCAAAGGAAAAAAACACAGAAGAGAGCAGAAGAAAGTTCAGAAGGGGACACAAGTCGGGCAGTGTTGGTACTATCATGTTAAATTTAATACATACTTTAAAAGTAAGTTGTATGTAACAGAAATTCATGGTTTCATAGACGATCCTCTTTTTCTATTTTTTTATATGTTGAAATGTTCATGCTTGTTGTGAAATGGCAAGTGGTCTGGGCCTGGAATCAGGAAGACCTGAGTTCAAATCCAGCCTCAGACACTTACTAGCCGTGTGACCCTGATCAAGTCATTTCCTACCAGCTTCACTCCTTGGACTGGACTCCACCATGGCCTCTGGAAATCTCATCATGAGAAAACTGATCCTTTGAGAATACACCAACTTTGGTGTTCAGACTTCATCAGTACCCTCTGTCCCTCTGACTGGAAGACAAAGAACTCCTCTCAAAGCTCCTTTTCAAAGAGAGTTCTCCCAGGCCAGCCACCTCTTCATTTCTCACCAGCTTGCACTCCTTTGGATTGGACTCCATTCTGCCTCCATGCTGGGTAGCTTTTATTGCCCTCTCCTCCCTTTTCAGCTTCCTTTTGTGTGTTGACTTCCCTCATTAAAATGAAAAAAAAATTTTTTTTGGCAATTGGGGTTAAGTGACTTGCTCAGGGTCACACAGTTAGTAAGTGTCAAGTGTTTGGTCTGAGGCTGGATTTGAACTCAGGTCCTCTTGACTTCAGGGCTGGTGCTCTATCCACTGTGCCACCTAACTGCCCCAAAATGGAAGATCTTTGAGGGCAGGGACTATCTTTTCTTTTTCATATTTGTATCTCTAGCACTTAGCACAATGCCTGGCACAAAGTAGGTGCTTAATAAATGTCTACTGATTGACTGATCTGAGTTCAAATCTAGCCTCAGACCAAACACTTGACACTTACTAACTGTGTGACTATGGTCAAGTCTTGTAAAATGGGGGTAATAATAGCACCTGTCACCCAGAGTTGTTGAGGACCTATGATACAATGTTTGTTAAGTGTTTAGTACAGTGTCTAGAACATAACAGAAGGTATTTAATAAATGCTTGTTTCCTTCCTTCAAGTTCATAATAAATAAATAAACACATGTATGTATGTATGTACGTATGTATATATCTCTATCATCTCCCTCTTGGTCTAATTCTCTCCATTCACCAACACAACTCTACTTCAAGTCCTCATTAGCTCTCTGGATTATAATGGCCTAACTCTTCTCCCTGTCTCCAGTGTCATATATAACCTCTTACAACCATGCTATCCTTCATGTCAGTACATCTGTGCCAGAACTCCCTCAACCCACCCATCCACAGCTCAGCATATAAATCTTAGAGGCCTGCTTGAGGCTGGAGAAATTAAGTGACTTACCCTTACAGTCATTGTTACTAGGTGTCAAGTATGATATTTGAATCCAGGTTTTCCTGAATTCAAGTCCAGCACTCTACTCTCCATCCCTAATCCAGCTGCAGCAACAATCTCAATGAACAGATCTGGTCATATCACTCCCTTTTTCAAAAACTCCTGGCATCTTTCTAGTGACTATGGAAGAAATATAAAAATCCCTGTGTGGCAATACAGTCCTCCACAATTGGCTTCAATCTACTGCTCTCATTTTACACTATTTCATATATATTACTTGAAGTTCCAACCAAACTATACTAAAAGTAATTTCCTCATCTTGTCCTGAATTTGCCCAGATGCTCTTGCTTCCCCTATTCCTGGAGATGGGCTTATATTCTCCACCTTTAGAACCTAAGGTCCCTGGGGCAATAATCTACATCCATTTTATCTTTATATCCCCAGCATACCATTGAGAGCTCTGGAGACAGTAAATAATAAATGCTTACTGACTTCAATATTTCCCCATTTTCCTTCTCCTAATCAAAATTTTAGCCATTTTACAGCTGTAGCACTTTATGAATGGATACACTAGGAAACAGAGAAGATCAAACTTTAAGGGGGAAAAAGTGGAAGCTATTAGTTAAAATCTGTAGAATAAAATACAAGAAATGAGTATTTTTGAGAACCTACTGTATCTTCAGCATTATGTAAGAATTCCTGCCTTGGTGCAGTTTTTCCTATTCTTCCTATCATTCCCATTGAAAGATCAAGAATTAGTTACAATTAAACACTTACAACCTATATGAAAAGTAATCACAAGTGTGATATTTAGATCTTAGAGGTTTATATGTTAACATTAGCTTTGGGCAGGTTTAAATAAGAGAAATTCATTAAGATAACTATCATTTCTTTTTTAAATTCAATTCATAGCATACTTACTATAGCTAGCATTAGAACTTGGTGGCTTTCTATGTGGTGAGATTTCAAGGCTGCTTTATAGCCCTCACCCCTCCCAACATAGCTGATCTTACAAACTGCCTAAAATTTATAAATAGGCAACAAGGCTTTCATGCCATAATTTGAGCTAAGGATTAAAATGCAAATACTCTAACGAGATAATAAACCAAAAACTAATTCATATTAAGATATAAATGACTTAACTAGATCTTTTTTTCCTACAACAGGCTCTGATGGGGGAACGGTGAAGGAGGAAAGCATATCAAGGCACTGGAAAAAATAAAAAGGGAAAACAACATCTGGAATAGTGAGAAAGGCACAAAAAGAGATGGGGAACTAATGACAAATCTTAAATATTTCATAATTTTGCTTAGTATTGGCCTTAGGTAGCACTGTGCTAGATATTGTACTAACTACTAATAACATTTCAGGATATTAAAGAAATATACAACACGGCTCCCTTCTTAACTGAGTATATAATCGACTGGGGCGAACAAAATAAATGAAACAGTTAACACAAGATAGTATCTGATTATATGTTCAAAAGAGTAGCAGATAGTACACACTAAAAAATATTTCTAAGAAATGAGGTTATCATTGTGGCCTGGAATAATCCAAGGGAAGTTTCATGGAAGTGATGGGGCTTGATCTGGGTAGTATGTAGATGGGTAGAGATTATAGAAGGAAAATGTAGTTGAGGGCAACAGCATGATCAAATGAATGAAGGATTCAAAATGGCATATTTGAGTTTACGCTAAGAGCATGATTCAAAACATAAGACTACTATGGAGAAAACACCATGAGGATTTAGCTTAATTCTTCCAGGTACTTCTCTTCTTCTCCTTAACTCTGAAGTGTGGTTTCTGACTTCACCAGTCAAGTAACGTTCACATCTCCAATAACCTACT